ATGTAGAAATCAGAAAAGGGCATTGGATTCTCCTGGAACTGGAGTTACAGATGGTTGTTAGCTGCCATGTGGGTGCTGGGAATTGAACCTGGGTCCTCTGCAAGAGCACCCAGTGCTCGTAACCACTTACCCATCTCTCTAGCCCCCTTCCCGAGTTTTTAAACTTGAGTGCTCTAGGGGCTTCATTTAAGTGGAGCCAGGCAGTCCTTGTCCTTGTATAACTGCTTATTTTACTCGGTATGATGTCATTGATACTCATCTATATTGCTACCTACCTCAGAATTTCTTTCTTTTTTTAAAAAAATTATTTATTTAATAACCATATAATTAAAAGAAGCATTTCATTACAACAGCATTGACATATTCAATGACAATTTCCAGAGCTAAGATGCATCTCTTTTAAAACTGGTTGTAAATTTTTAGGTTTACTAATACAGTTATACAATATTGTACTCAGTACAAATCTTATAAGACATAAAATTGAATGAGGTTTTAACCTTTAAAAAAGATCTCCATTTCATTTTAAAGTATACTGTTTCATACAGGAAAAACTTATTTTTAATGCAACTAACACTTAGATGTTTGCACATGCATCTCTAATCTCTATATATTCGATTATTACTAGTCAGAGTCAGTTACTTTCTGAGATCCTTGGCACCTGAGCACGGATATAAAGTCATCAGGCAGATTTCAATGGTAATGTTTTTCACAAACTTTTATGCTTCTTCCTCAAATATAACTCATTTTTTTAATTTATTGATTTTTTTGGTGCGTATTTCATACAGAACATCCTAAACAATCCTATTCATCTATATACCCACTTCCCAAATGGCGCCCTCCTGTAGCCCCCCACCCCCCCAGCCCATACACTGTCATCCCTGTTACTTCCTACCGTGTTGTCAGTGCCCCCAGCCGTTCCCCGGTGCAAGTCCATCCACTGCGTCTAGTCAGCCTTTCTAGAGATCCTTGTTTTAGGAAGACCAGCTCTTCCTCATCTAGCAGCAATCTGTTGCCAACATTCCTTTAGATAAGATTGGGGTCTACTGTTCATTTTCCCAGTTCTATGCTGGGTTACTGTCTGGGAGTCTCTTGGGCCACCCTGGCCAACAATCTAAAGGAAGAATTTTTTTTTTTTAAGGACAAATGATGCTCACCTATGGATTTTCCCATATCTACTCATTTGTTCATCCATTCATCTGTTGATGATACTTAGGGAGCTTCTAGCTCTTGGCTACTGTGAACAAAGCTACTGTGAACGTGGCTGTGCAAACATGTGTGCCCGCAGTGTTTTGGGTTGTTACCCGGGGTGAAGCTGCTGGGTCGTACAGCAACTTATGGCTAGTGTTGTGGAGTCATCATGTTTCCATGGCAGCTGTACCATTTTACATTCCCATCAGCAATGCATGAGGGGTCCAGCTCTCCAGAGCAGCCAACAATTTTTAGAGTTCTTGTTGTTTGCGTTTGCATTTTTAGTAGTGATCGGAAGGGATGTGAAAGGGAAATAAACTCAGGCACATTTTTTTCTCAAAAGTAATTGATGTAGGGCTGGACAGATGGCTCAGCAGTTAAGATCACTGGCTGCTCTTGCAGAGGACTTGGGTTTGATTCTAGGCACCCACATGACAGCTAATAGCTGTTCATAACTCCAGTTCTGGGGGTTGCGACACAGGCATTGCAGAACATGGGTGCACTTACACACTATGCAGGCAATACGCTCATACACAAAGTAAAATAAAATAAAAATAAATAAAATATTTTATTAAAAGTAATGTATAGACCATTGTAATTAGAGATTCTCTGTTTCTCTTAAGATGAGGAAGTCTTTACACTCATCTCCCCCTCTATCTGGCTTGTTTTCTTCTGTTCATGATAAATTGTTACAGTTTACATTGCACTGCAGTTTGAATTGCTGTGATAGGTCATCTAAACAACACTGAGAGGAAGGCAGGGCAGGTATTATTTTAATTTTCTTTCACAAATAAGGAAAATGAGGCTCAGTGAGGTTAAGGGGACAGCTTACAGTCACAGGGGTAGTAGGTAACAGTCACTCCTTCCAGTATACTGTCATCATTCTAGAATGACCCTGTTTTGGTGCTAAGTTTACTGTAATGCCATTGAAGCTATAAGCAAAACTATAATTCTTACTGTTAAAATATTAGTATTAGCATGTTTTAACTACAAATACATCTGTGATGTCCTACCTAGGGGTGACAACCAAGGAATATACGATAGGTTGGAGCTGTTGCTGGTGTGGGTGAGGAAGGCTTCTGGCACATCATGAGTCAAGGTCAGAGGCCGGGCCTGGTGCTCAGTGTCCTGCGATGCTCAGGTCAGCCCTGTGACAAATGACTACCTGGTCCCAAGTAACACTAATGAAAAACGTGAGGAACCCTCAGTAAATGTGCTCCTGTAGTTCTGAATGTGTAGGAGAGTGGATCTGTCCATGGAAGACCCTGCGCATATGCTTCCTGCATGGTTTACATATTGCAAAATAGTTTTACTAAACCTGTCACGGTGACAATACTCACCTGAATACCTTTAACACCACCTAAAATGAACGTCGACTCTCCCTTTTCTCCATGTTCCCCAGGAAGACCCTGAAAAGAAAAGCTTTGCTTAAGAGGAAAAAGCACACTACCATTTCAGTATTTTCCATATGAAATATCATTCACTGAGAAAACAGTCACTAGCCACTTCACCGGGAGAGATTCGCCATCTTCACTGCTGTCATTCCAAATCTTCATGGACATCTACTCACATTCAGTTAGGCTCTGTTAAGGAACTCGGTGAGAAGACTATCCACTGTTGCAGTTACTTACTTGTTATTCAGCAGAAAGACTGAATTTTTCTTACAATATAATACATAGGTATTAGTCTTAAAATTAATTTTGAAATATAATCTATGCTCCAGAAATACTTTTAATAAGCATTAATTTTATCCATTTCAGTATTGGTATTTGAAATAGAATTTAAATGCTTTTGTAGGACTAACTTCCAACATACACAGCATGTTTCTTCTGTGTATAGCGCTAGCTTGCTTAACACATTTTTTTTTTAAAGTGAATAAAATACCTCATTTCATTCTCTGCCAAAACTTTCCTAATATTTCTCTCTCTCTCTCTCTCTTTTTTTTTTTTTTTTTTTTTTTTTTTTTTGGTCTTTTTGAGACAGGGTCTCCCTGTAGCTCCAACTGGCCTGGATTTGCTATGGAGACCAAGCTGGCCTCAAACTCACAGAAATCCGCCTGCCTCTGCCTCCCGAATGCTGGGATTAAAGGTGTGCGCCTATCTTAACATGCATTAACTTAGTTGGCACACAAAATTCTACCTTCTTTATATTATCAACCTGTGAAAGACAAATTTCAAGTTGATCCCACTTGCAAGAGTGCCTGACTTTGCTCCCAGTCAGAGACACTCAACGGCTTTACTTCAGCATTCTCCTTGGGGAGTCAGTTTTGCCCCCACAGGCAATCCTGGACTTGCCCAGCTCCACTCCACATGAATCCCAGTTCCACAGTTAAGCCAAACCAGTTACAGATTGCATGACTGCACAAAGTAAAAACTTCACAGGCTGGGGTGGTAACTCAGTGGTAGAAAGTGTGTCTAGCGTGCCCAGGATCCTGGGTTTGTTGATCCCCAGCACTGCAAAAACTTCACTGCTAGCCGACCAGTCCACAATCACTATATAAGTAACAGACTGGTCATGATCAGTGACTGATCGTGTCACGTCTTTCAAAGCCTGCTGTGATTGGTCACTACACATCTTGTGTCTCATTTCTTTTTCAATTTAGTGCTTCTATTACATACATTACTTATGTATAATAACGGGTTTCATTATGACCTTTCCATAATCTATATAACATATCTCATTCATATTCACCCTGTTACTCTCTCATCCTCCTCTCGCTCTTGTTGATCCTCTTCCTCTTCTCAACCCTTTGCGTGTGTGTGTGTGTGTGTGTGTGTCCCAATGGGTTTACAAAAGGGTGCGAGGTAGTTTGTCTATAGGAACATCACTGCATATATTTTGAGTGTGAAAATGTGCCTGAATGCACACACACACACACACACACACACACACACACAGCACAGCAAAACATGCAGATACATTGTTTCCTTTTCTCTCAGAGATAAACTGAAGTGACATTTTACAAAATTGGCTACTTGAGAGAGAAACTTGACCAGGAAAGATGAACGTGAAACAAATACACGAGAAACGTCTGCAACGTTGGAAGTGAAACAGAGTTTACTTGGAGTTAGAGAAGAACAGTTGACTGGGAAGTGGGGTCCCGCTGACATTTAAGACTGTACTGGCAGCCAGAGAACAGAGGGATGATGGGATAGCGACAGACCGAAGTGGTTGTGATGGAAGGGTGAAGACGTCCTAGAGAAATGACGCACACAACTTCACATTAAAGGAACTCCGTGAGGTACTTCTCAATAATGAACACGGACCCAAACTTAGAATGCGATGTATTTCCAAGTTTGAAGAGGTTAACTTAGTATTATGAATTACATAATGGATAAAAGACACATACTATTCAATATACTCTTACAAATTTTTTGCCAAGAAAAGAAACACTTTGATTTTCAATGTTTCTAATTACAAAGCATCAAATAAATATTAGGGTTTTTTTTTTCATTTCTTTGTGTATTTATAAGTGATGGTAAGAGAGTTTTTAGTGCTTTAACAAAACGAACGCTTTAAAGGTCACAGAACAATAGTTGATTTCCCCCACGGATTGCTGAGGTTGCTTTAGCTGTCACAGTCAGTGGAAGCAGGCAGAGCGATTGTGCCTCTCTGTCAGAGGAGACAAAGGGATAGAGCTGTTTAGCAGAGACTATTGTGACTGACTCCAGCGCCGTGGTCAGTACCGCATGCTGTGTTAGAGCTGCCATTGAGAGGCCCTGCTCTCCTGAATGCCAGATTCAGTGGAATGAGGTCTGGACCAACTGGAAGAGCTTAGGATATGCACATTTGTCACACTGCACTTAAACTTCAAATGGCTGAGACTAGGAGCAAAGCGTGGCTGAGAAGTCCTTAGCAAAGAACAATGGCTGTGGGTCTTATACAACACCACAGGATACAATTCTGGAAAATCCTTCTGGGTTCTGGGATCAGACCAGTTCTTGGATCAGGGATACAAGAAAGACTCGTAAAGAGAAAATGGATGGTTCTGCTGATAAGAAACCTCTTAGAAGGATTTGAGAAATGGTATTTAAAGAGGGAAAGGCTGAAAATCAACCACAGAAAATCAATTTTGAAAGGTCAAATTGTCTTATCTGTAGCTAAGTGAGAAGGGTGAGGAAGAGAAGGTGGGAGGGAGGGAGGGAGGGAATGAGGGAATCTTCCCTGCTGAAGTTATATGTAAATAAAAGGTCAAATGTTTAAAGAAACATGAAAGAGCGAAGAGCAGTGCTCTCTCAGTGCCGGATGTTATGAGCTGTTTTTGGACACCCACCCTCAACCTTCCCTAGTCTACCTTCTTGACTTTCAGAGGTTTAAAAGGTGAAAGGTGCAGTTCCCAGACTCCTTTGCAGCTGATATGAGTTAATTTCTATCTAAGTGATGTGGAAGGCAGAAGTAGAAACCTGGGAGTCTGTTTGCTGTACCTGGATGTGGGGGTGAAAGGCAGTGGCTGGTATAGGCACAGCTCCCTGACTCTGGATCTCAGCCAAGTGTGGGTCCTTGGGATCAGTAGCTTCAAATGAGGCCCTGAGTTCCATTCTTCCCACCATTCAGTAAGTGCAAACTCCCTGCGTTGAATCTCTTTCTGTTTGACTTGCCCAGAGCATTTCAAATGTCTGCAGTGAACCCTGAACGATAACAACTTGAGTTTTGGTAACTGGTCTCCCAGCTCCCTTTTTATTACTACCTATTCTTTGTGCAGGAACAAGAAATATCTTAATGAAATCAGTTAGATCACAGTCCTTCGTTAAAGCCATTCAGTGTTTTCTCATCACAGGTACAGAAAAGAAAAGTTAGTCTCCTCTCAGAGCCTGTGAACCGCCCCCACTCTTGTCCTGCCCAGCTCACTATCCCCCTCCCCAAGCATCTAGTTTAATTCTCCAGCTCCAGTACATTTACGTTGACTCTGGTTCCTGAACATACGAAGCCTGTTCCTACCACAGACAGGTCCTTTTCCCTTAAGATTCCTATAGGCAGTTCTAGTGCTGACTTACTGGGGGACCTCCTGGGCCAGGAGCTCCTGGTTCCCCTGGATATCCTGGATCACCCCTTGAACCGTTGTAGCCATCCGCACCAGGTTTGCCTCTGGGCCCAGGAGGCCCTGGGTGACCCTGTGGAGAATAAAACTGTGAGTGAAGCATTTTTGCAAGAAAACCACTAAGACTATGCAATAGGGATCCCAAATTACAGAAATTTGACCCCCATGTTTAGTTGTTTCATTTTGTGGAACTTCCTAAAAGTGCTACGTAGTAAAACTAAACGTGAGAAAAATTGCAATATAGCTAAATTTAAATCCATTTAGTTTGTTATTCTCCATCTTTGGAAGAAGCATTCTTCGAACTCCTTAGGCTCTGATGGATGGTGATGCTCACCAACTCTCCCTTCCTTCACCCTCTTGGCTTCCATATGAGAATGTCTCAGGCCCACTTGCAGCATTAGGACTCGTCAGAACGTAAACCTTTTGCACACGTTTCTTTCCAGAGCAAGGTGGTGCTGGATATGACAGATACATCTAGCTTCTATTTGGGAGATGCTTCTTTTCTTTAATTTGCTTGAAGACTTTGCTCTTTGCATAAAATGTTTTGGTTTGAGAATTATGGTACAAAATTGAAATGTAACTAAGATGAGAATATAAACGTTGGCCTAATAGATATACCTTTTTTGAACATGTTTTTCAGAGGGTTTTTTTTGTGTGTGTTTTTGCTGTACTTCTTTCTTCCTTTTTTCCTTTCTTTTTTGAGACAACCTCTCACTCAGTAACCCAGGCAGGCTTTAAACTCATATCCTCCTGCCTCAGGTTCCCAAATGCTCAGATTACACATGTGCACCCCCATGCTCCGCTCAGCTTTGAAGGCTGTAATGAGTGCGTCTTTCTGCCTTAAAACAACAGTGAAAACTTGGGGATACTTACAGGAATACCATCCAAACCTGGAAATCCAGGGACACCAGTTGGACCCTAATCCCAAAATAAAAAACAATGATGTAAAAAAATGACTAAATTATTAGATTGGCAAATTGATTTATTTGAAAATATGGATGATTAGTGGCCCATAATTAAAAACCCTTTGCCGTCACTGTCATTTGTTACATTGGTGGGTCTAAATTCCATGATTTAAGAACGACCCTCTCACTCTGTTGTGTGTACCTAGGAAGGCAGCTTGGCACAGCAGATCAAATACAATATTCATCATGCTGTCAGAAATGCAGCTCTCAGAATCTGCCCCCCTAAACCCTCTTAAATGTGAACAACAGCAATTGACAGGGTTTTATCTGCATTCGGGCACTACATAGAGCTGGGGAAGAATTTCACATTCTCATCAACAGGAAATAAGAAATGACATATTCTTTAGTATTTTTAAAGGAATAAATCTGGCCTAAAGAAATTAACATAGGATGATCTCTAAAACACATTGTTGAGTGAAAAGAAGAAATGTTCAGCATGATATACGGAAGATATCATTTAAGTTATTTAAAAGGCCACTGAATGATACAAGTCCTCCTTGGTGCACAGTTACAGATTGGGGTGCTTCGAAATGGTTTAGAAGGGTTTTCGAGGGGCTGAGAGCAAGGACTGACTGTCAGAGACCCGTGTCTTAATCTTTGACCGAGTGCAGGTATGCGGCACTTGTGAGTCTAAAAACCTGGGCACTCGAGTGTGGTGACAGGCTAATGAGACTCACCTTGTCCCCTTCCTCTCCTGCTGCTCCAGGAGGGCCACTGTCACCTCTCATCCCTTTCTCTCCTGGAATCCCAGTGGGTCCTGGGGGTCCCAAGGGTCCTATCGGTCCCTGTGGCCCCAGTGGTCCTGGCTGCCCCTGAAAGGGGAAGCAGAGCAAAGAAGTCACGATTGGTGTTTGCCGATGTAAATCCATAGTCCCAGATGCCAACAGACAAATTAGAAAACCAGAGTTAAGACGATTCTAATAATAACAGAAAACTGATTTCCTATGATAAGAGAAAGGTATGGAATTGCCTCTGCAATCTGAATTTAAGCTTTCTGATAAAATTTCTTTCTTTTCTTTAAATATTTTTATTTAGTCTTTGAAAATTTATACATGCGTACAATGTTTTTATCTTATCTACCCCGGTTATCTCCCTCTCCCCAGAACCTACCAGCCTGACTTCTTCCCTACTTCACGTCATCAACATCATCATCATCATCATTGTCACCATCATTGCCATTATCATCATCATCATCATCATTAATCCACTGAGTGTAATTAGTGCTAACCATGTACACATGGGTGTGGGGCCATCCACTGGGCATGAGCAGCCTACTAGCCATATCCCCAAAGAAAAGTGAGTCTCCCTCCCTTAGTAGCCATCAGTTCTCAACAGTTCCTCAGTTAAGGGTGGGGCCTCTGGAACCCCTCCCCCATACATGCTGGGGTTTTGACTGGCTTTAATCCACTGAGTCTAATTAGTGCTAACCATGGACACATGGGTGTGGGGCCATCCACTGGGCATGAGCAGCCTACTAGCCATATCCCCAAAGAAAGGTGAGTCTCCCTCCCTTAGTAGCCATCAGTTCTCAACAGTTCCTCAGTTAAGGGTGGGGCCTCTGGAACCCCTCCCCCATACATGCTGGGGTTTTGACTGGCTTGATCTTGTGCAGGTGACCACAGCTGTTGTGAGTCGATGTATACATCAGCCATGTCATGTCCAGAAATCAGTATTCCAGCATTTCATAGCTCTCCTCTCTGTCTTTCTGCCCACTCTTCCATGATGTTCCCTGAGCCTTGGATGGAGGGGGTGGGGTTAATATAGATGACCCATGCATATACATACATGGACCCATGTATACACATACATGTATATGTGGTCATGTGTGTGCACAGGGAAATATATATATATATAGTGATTGTAGCTTTATTACTATTTTCATTGTGACCACTGTGCTTATAGATTGTGAGCTGTTTTGTGAATCACAGAATGAAAAATACCAAAGTCTTACTACCACTATGTAAGGGGCACAGCTATGAGTGAAGGAAATGTACCTGATCTTTCATATACCTCAACTGGATAGTGATTTGCCAGCTCTGTATCTGCTTTACCTAATATTTCAGTCAGTTTGAACCAGGCTCTCCATGCCTGGTTACATCCATGTAATCCAGTTCCTGCTAATGAAAATCTCCCTCTTGTTAGAGACAAAGCTTCATGAGTCCAGTTTTTGTCCTGAAACCACAGCAAACCATTCTGATCCAAAGATGAAGGGCTCTGCTCCTCTTTCCCTGCCCCCAGCTGCATTCTTTCAGGTGGACAAGCGTGGACTGAGGTCCAGTGATTGCCTATCACAGACAGCTGCAGGTCACCCTCTCACTGTTCTGCATAGGAAGTCTGCAGCCCTCTGCCTGATGATGTTGGTTTCTCCTGTGCCTGCCTCCCTTCTCTCTGTCCTCAACTCAGCTCTCACTTCCATACGGTCCTGTTCATCTGCCTCTATGTCACAGCCTTTGGTTCAATGTTACTTCCAGCTTAAAAGAAGAAAAACCAAAAATGGCTTCTTGATTTTCCTCCTCAAATGTGACCATCAGCCTATGCTCCCCATCCACTCAGTCCAGAGTCTCCCTGATCTTCATTCTGCCATGACTAACTCTTCTCATCTCTACTTCTGGAATGTACCCACCTCCCTGTCCCTGTCTCCACTGTCCCTCCCTAGGTGCAAGCCCACATCTGGGAGAATACTGCTCTGGCTTCCTGAATGGCCTTACAGCCCCCTCTTTCCTCCTCTAAGCCAACCTCTGCAGAACACTGACTGACATTAAAACAGAAACCTGAACTTGGCACTTCCCTGCTAGTTTAAACCATTACTGACTTGTTGTCTGGGGGAGGCAAGGGGTCATAAAATAATTTTTCTTAAGGGTCTTTGGAAAATAGAATCACACACACACAAAAACCACAACCTGAGTGAGGCGAGGGCCTGTGGATGGAGTCCGATAACAATAATATAAGGTCATTCACAATATCATTTGCAATAGCAGGTAAAACTGGAGTCCTATGAAAACCCACTAACCTGAGTGAGTAAATCCATTCTGGTGCTTTCTTACAAGTACCACACAGACTCACCCACCTGAGTGGTCCCAAGAAAACATAGAGAACAGGCTATCCAGGAAGAACAGAGTGATACAGGCAGGGATGGAGCCCAGAAAGGTATGAAACCAAGTCAGTCCTCTCTGTGGACAACTGGAGGCAGGCACTGCTGAGAGGAGTGAGTACTCAGCACACTTCTTAATCACCTTGCCTGGGTTGAGGGATCAGGGTAGTTCCCGCCTAGGTTCAATGTTGACAAACGTGAGGCTGAGGTGAGGGTGGGAGGAGATTTGCAGTACCTATCTGCATGTGCGAGTAGCCATTAGAGAGAGTGAACTAGATCTACCTTAACTGACAGAAACCTTGAGCAAGATAACAACTGAGGACCCAGGTCAACACTCAGTCCAGTGCTTGAAGCCCAGGCCCATACTTACTAGCTGTGTGACTTTGAGTACATTTCATTTTCTATAAGTTTTTATTAGCATATATTAATTATCCACAATGGGCTTTGTTATGACATTTTAAAACTACATTTCTTTCTTTTTTGAGACAGGGTCTCCTTGTAGCCCCAGCTGGCCTGGAACTCACTATGTAGAGCAGGCTGGCTTTGAACTCACAGAGATCTGCCTGCCTTTGCCTCCTGAGTTTTGGGATTAAAGGCGTGTGCCACCACACCTGACTTTTACTGTTTTCTAACCCTTCCTCTTGCCCAGTATCTTCATCTACCAATGGCTTATGGGCATAAAAAGAATAAAACACATAAAGTTGTTTAATATAGCACCTGTCATAATAAACGCTAACCACTGTGATTACGGATTACTATGACAAATGGGTAATTGTTAAATGAGAAAACAAACCACAGAATAGTACGTCATAGGATCCCAGCCCTTAAGAAACAGGACAGAGATTGTTGCCAATTATTTGTTTAGAGACGAAAACTTCTAAAAGGATATTCAAATAGCAGGAGTAGAAAATGTAAGTCAGGACGATTTCATATTCTACGTCATGTTTATCTTAAAGTCAACCAATGCAACCTTTGTAATAGAGATGAATTGCCATTTCTGTGTCACCATTAAGCCACTGACCCTAAAAACCTTATTGACAACCTTTAATCTCTGCCCAGACTGCACACATCAAAACTGTAGTTTCTCTGTATTTCCTCTCTTTTCACACTTACCCATCCTCATCATAATGGCTACTATTTCTTGAGAATTCACAAACTTTTTAAATGCTTAGAATTCTAAAGAATTCTGACATACATATGTAAATATGTGTTACCAAATAGCAACGATCAACCATAAAGCATTGCCACGAAACCATCGCGGGACATTGCGAAGGGAGATCAATTTACAGTGGATCTCATATAAATTCTAGACTACAGTCTAAAGTGAGTAACAATAATGACTTCCGAATCCTTCTTAACCTATGCTAATTAATCTTATTTCTAGTATTAATCCTTTAAGTAAGATTACCATATGCTCAAAAGTTCTCAGCTTTTCTAAACATAAGCCAGGAAACAACAGTTTTCATTAAGTTTGGGAATTATCTTTTCATTTTGAATATGATTTTACATAAACTCCTCAAATTATCTTTTGTGAATGCACTACTTTATAATAATGTGTTGTTTAGAGACACAGCAAAATGAACATTCAAGTATGAGGGAAACTAGAAAGAGACAGTCAATTAACTGCCTGTAAATCTCTTTAATGTGCCTCATTTTAGACATGCGATCCTGTCAGCTAATGGAACTTTGTAGGGGAAGGAGCGGAAGTGTTTAACACAGCCCAAGAGTGATGGCATTCCACTTTGCATCCTATGGAAATAGACCTCATTTACTAGAGCGCCATAAAAAAATACTTTAAAAAAAAAACAGTGAAGTGGAGAATAGTAGTTTGTATCATTGAAGGAAACTGCACCTTCCTCCATGGTTCCCTCTTCCTCTCTCCATCCTGACATGGCACACTGACTTCTGGCCATTTCTAGAAAGCTCTGTTTCCCAGCTTTTAGCATGCTGTTCTGCCCCAGGAGGGCCCTCCAATTTTCATCTTGTTTGACAGTCTCTCGAAATTCTGTGGAAAGATGCCTCATCATGACTTCCTGCCCTGGCCCTTGAGAATAAGATGCCTCTCCAAGATGTCAGCACAGTACCTCTTGCCTGTTACCACCATTGTCTCCTTTCCTGCTGGTTCCTCGCAGCCCTACACCCACTGGACCCTGAGCCTCCCAGAAGGCAGGACATAGGTGCCCAAGGATATGCTGGTAAGAAAGATATAATGGTTAGCCTTTTGTTACTACAATGAAACAACCCAGATGCAGACTACTTTATAAGAGGAGCTGGGCTGAGGATATAGCTCAGTGTCCCAGATTCAATCCCCAGTACCACAAAAACAAAACAAAGGAAAGAAAAGAGCTTTATTTGGGCTCATAGTTCTGAAAGTAAACAACACAGTACAGGTTTCTGGCAAAAACACTCGTGGTGGTGGTGGTGTAGGTGATCTCTGACCCTCTTCTTATAAAGCCACCTGATTCAATTATGAGAGCTCCACCCCAGTGTTCTCATTTTATCTATTCACTTCAAAGAGGCCCCACCTCTAAGCATCATGGTAGGTTTGTTTCCACTCTCTTAATAACAACCAATATATGACTTTGGGGGTTAAGCCCCTGCAGGAGTTTGGGAGAGACAAATGAGCGGAGAATAATAAATGCTTCACAAAATAAGACATACCAAGGAAGGACATGTGCAAATGCTTCCTTATAGCCCAAAGCCTTTGTCCCCAGAACCCTG